TTTTTCTCGAGGATGCCAGCGGCAGCGCCTCCATGCGCGCCACCTCCGTGTCGCGTGGTTTCTTCGAGGACGCCGTCGGCAGCGCCTCGGGGCCACCACCTTCCCTTCACACGCGGGCGAGCCCGAGCCTCGGCGCCATCTTCTGGCGCCCTCTCCTGCTCGCCTGCAGCTGCTGCCAGGACTGGTCCCAGCTGCTCCCTCACACGCCTCCTCGCCCGCAACCAGCTGCCGCGGTGGTCCCTCGCACAGCATCCGTGCGGCCTGACCTCAGGGAAAGCCCGAGGCCCCTGCACCACCCTCATGGCGCCCTCCATCTTCTGCTTGGCGACCTCGACGATGACTGGCACGTGCGCGCACACGGGCGAGCCCACCGCCACCTGGGCCCCCTGCGCGAGCAGCGCTCGCGACACCAGGAAGTAGTCGATGATCCGCCCTGACGCCATACAGGTAGGCCCCGCTGGTCTGACCACGGACGCGTCGAACAGAGCCATCACCCCGCCTGCCTGCAGCTCCTCCTCGCTGAGATTCCAATCCCCACCAACCACGTACTCTCTGCGGCACTGTCTCGGCCTCCTCGCCAGCTGCTTGAGACTCGACACTTTGCTGAGGTTGAGGCCCGCCCCCGCCTCCAGGTACAGGTTGGCAAGTAGAAAACCACCGCCACAAACGCCCGGCACCCAGTGCACATGAACCCTGCCGTCCACCACCACCGCCGCCTGGTGATCCTGGGCCTCCGCCATCCCGTGGCAACGTCGCACCATGGTGATGAGCCCTCCTGTGCTGAGCCCCCCTGACTCAGATCGCACCGCTGGCGAACTCCTCGCCCGCCATCCTTGACCACGGAGCTGAGCCTCGGCATCTCCACTCCGCCCCTCCAGCAGCCTGGTCTCCTGCGCCAGGATGGCGTCGCAGTTCTGCACCTCCTGCACCATCGAGCACTTGCCCAGGCTGCTGAACGCGTTGACACTGACCGTGCAGATCCTCCAGACGCCAAGCCCCTGGCTAGGACTCTGCGTCCATCTCCTCCTCCCCCGTGCGCATCTTCTTGGCCTCGTTGATGAGGGCCTCAGCCGCCTTCCTCTTGTCAGGGTCCACGAACTGCTCCTCCAGCTCCTTCCAGGCCTGCTGCACCTCAGGGGATGGCTGCTGCGGCCGAGGTTCAGCCCCAGCAGACGGCCTTGCCGCAGCCCCTGCCCTCGTGGCTGCAGCAGCGCCAGCCACCGCAGGAGGCGTCTGCACAGGATCTGGCTCTCCAGACCCCTCCCCTGCAGCCTTGCTCATCCACTCGAACAGCCTCTCGACCGCCTCGGACAGCTTGACGAACTCGTCGCTGAGCACTGGGCTCGCCGCCACACCGCTGGACTTGGCCCAGCCCGCAAGCGCCGCTTTGACCTCTTGCAGGGAGGCAGGGGTAGCAGCCGCTGCTGTAGCCACCTCAGCTGCCACAGCGGTCTCCGCCAGCCTGGCACTCTGAGCCGGCAGCGCCTCGCGGGCCCTGGCGGCTGCCTCAGCCAGCTCCTGCCGCAGCTGCACCAGCTTCTCCGCGAGGTCCGCCGTCTCGTCGATGGCCGCCCTCGCCTTCGCCCTGGCCAGCTCCAGCAGGTGCTCAGTCCGCTTGACCTTATGCGCCTTCTCGTCGGCCAGCAGCTGGGCCGCTTTGACGGCCTTATCCTTGGACGTGTCGTCGCCCAGCCCCTCACGCACCAGCCGCCTGGCCTGCTGGAGCTCGTTCCTGATCCTCGCGCTGAAGAGCTCGGTCGCAATGGCGAACTGCACATCCGACATGCTGACGAGCTCGCGACGCTCATCGTCACTGAGCATCACTCCCGTAGCACGCTGACCTCCTTCGCCGCCCTCATCACCTCGCCACCACGGCGCACGGGTCGCAGGCGCGCCAGCACCGGCACGCCCACCACGCCCGCCACCGCCATCGCCAGGAGCACCGCCACGCCCTGAAGCCCCCTGCGGGAGGAAGCTGCGCGACGGCTTGCCGCCCCCTTGGCACCCGAAGCGACAGCACTTGCGCTCGGCGAAGTTGTAGTAGCCGCACGCCTGGCACACCCATCCCACGGGTCCGTCTGAGCGACCTCCTCCACGCCCTTGTCCCGCGCCGCGCCCCATCGCGCGCAAGACACTGGAGGAGACGCGCCCGACTGCCAGAGCGCAAAGACTCGTGCCTGCCGCGGACTAGCGAGATCCGTGCGATCCCCTCGGGAACCTGGCATCTTGAGCCAACATGGCTACGGAGGATAGGCGGAAGAGGAAGAGGAGGAGGAGGAGGAGGAGGACAAGGAGGGAGGGGGAAGAAGGACAATGCAGGGAAGAGGGGGCGCGGCACGATGAAGAGGCCAGCAGATCTTCCCCTGCATGAGTAGCATTAGGTCGGGCATGTCCTTTTACAAAGGGACGTTGGCAGAAACAACAAATATCTAAACAAATTCCCAACAGGTCAAACATATTAGAACAAAAAACCGTCCCCATAATACTCTTTGACTATGTTTGAATGTTCCTCCTGTAGAGGGACAGGCCCGACTTACAGGTAGCATATACTCCCAACGTACAATGGAGGCCAGGCCACAAGAAACCTTCCACAAGAAACCCAACCATGCGACCCCAGGACGTCTTTTAATGTTTGGTGTGGGAACGTCACGCCCTCCACAGCAAAACAATCGACACCCTAGAAACCCAGGGCACCCTGGAGGCAAGCAGGGTGTTTCTTAGCATAGGCCTGCACTGTAACCATTACCGATCGTCCACCCCATTTCCCTTCAATCACAATATCCCCCGGCTTATCATCCTCACCTCCCAAGCACAAAAACAAAACGAAACAAACACAAAACAAAGACCAATAGACTCGGGTCCGCCTTCCTCATGGCCCACGAAGTCCAACGGCTCGACACATAGTCGTTTACCGTCGCTGCCCTCGTGCCCCAGCGCCGATCCAAGCAATCAGCGTGTGCCTCCAAAACTGCCTTGAACACCTCCCTGGGGGCTTGGAACTTCGCAACTATCGCCACTTTTGTGGGATCCTGGGAGGCACGGCGGAGTCGGGGAGTATACGGATCCATTCGAGACCTGCGCTGTTCCCTGGGAGCTGCGAACCGGGCAACTGTCGCCGCGTTCGTGGGCTCCTGGAATGCACGGAGGAGTCGAGAAGTAAACGGACCACTTGAGACCTCGCAGATCCCCAGGGGGCTGCGACCAGTGCAACTGCCGCCACTTTCGCGGGCTTCTGGGAAGCACGGCGGAATACGAGAGTAAACGGACCCAGACTAGACCTCGCAGCTCCCTGGGGGGCCGCGAACTGCTCAACTGTCGCCACGTTCGTCCTGCCTCCTCCTGCGCTGTTCCCTGGGAGCTGCGAACTGCGCAACTGTCGCCACGTTCGTGGGTTCCACGGCGGAGTCCGGAGTAAACGGACCCAGGCTAGAACTCGCTGCTCCCTGGGGGCTGCGAACTGCGCAACTGTCGCCGCTTTCGTGATCTCTTCGGAGGTCCAGCGGAGTCGGGGAGTGAACGGATCCATTTGAGACCTCGCAGCTCCCTGGGAGGCTACGACCTGCGCAACTGTCGCCACTTTCGCAGGCTCATGGGACGCACGTCGGAGATGAGGGCAACCCTGGTCGTGCATGTCTGGCGACGTGTGCTTCTGCATGGATCGCTCCTATCATTACATGGAGAAGGGATTGGGTACGTCTCGGGTAATGAAATGGTTCGAGCTCCAGGTCGGCCGAGACACGCGTCCACGGATGTAGAGAGCAAAACAGCGCCACGGGAAGGTATGGGGGGATAGTGCCAGATGTGGCGCGAGCACAGCTAGCTTGACCTCCCCCCTCCCTTGGGAGCTTGGAAGTCGGCACCGACACCAACACAAGAAAGTGCCTCCACGGGAGGAAAACGATCCTGGAATTTGGTGGTGGTAATCTTTCGACCACCTAGGAAGCCCGCGTATCACCACCATCACCGAGATCGGGATAATTTTTAGAGGAAAGAAGAATGGCATAAACATAAATAACAACTCGGAGGTCCGCGCGGATTTCTTGGATCCGCGCTGGACCCCCCTACCTGGCGCGCGGAACGCGCCAGGGGCCGCGCCGGAGGCGCCGCCAAGGGGGTCCAGCGCCGATCCGAGAAGTCCGCGCGGACCGCCGAGTTATTATGTTTATGTTATTGCTGGTTCCCCTAATTTTCCATCGGGCGTGGCTTAATGAGGGAGTCATAAATGGAGGGGTCAGAAACGGTTCCCTTTCGTGCCCCTTTCAGGCCCCCCCGGAGCCCCAGGGGGCTCGTTTAGGTACTGTTTGGGTACCTTTTCGGACCACCCTGCCCCCCCCACATTTACGGCCCCCCATTACGCAACGCCCAATTCCCTCGGTGGAAGCACACCGCCGGTACTGTTGTGGATGCCACGACAATGGACACCCTAACAGTCCTATCATTGAATTAAACATATGTTCTAAATGTGGGAGAATGTTCTAAACATGTTTCAATCATGTTTAACATATGCTTAAGGCGTGCGCTAGACAACTGGAAATGCTTTGGCAGCATGCTTCCTCTCCATTGATCGTCCTCCACAACGGCACTGGAATTGGTATCAACCTCTAGGCATCCGACTCCCCCCCTCACCTCCCCGCCGCCCCCCCCCCCGACCAGCCATAACTGGGGGAGCCGTGGTCCTCACCCCCCTGGGGGAACCCATCGCATCGACGATCTCTCTCTCGAGGGGTGTCGAAATCGAGGAAGTCCCCAGGGGTGTCGAGAGGGGGCAGTCCACTCCCCAATTGCGGCTGGCCTGTAAAACATGGCTAGGATCGGGATACATCGCTCCTCAGCGTTCCGGAGCGCTCTCAGAGCGTTCCGGAACGCTCTGGAGCGGCCGCGGCGCCCAGTACATCCCCCAAACCCGCCGATTCTCAGAGATTTCGAGCTATCCCGATCTGATTTTGTCCCGATCTTCGCGTCGTTGTAGCCTGCTCCCGCGAGGCGGCCGAGGGCCGCACCATGAACAGGGGCACGCCGAGCAGCGCCGCGGCCAGCAGCCGCCGCCCGTCCGGGCCGCCCAGGAGGGCCAGCAGCAGGACGCCGAGTCCGGCGGGCCCCCCCCTCCCGGAGGCGGGATGCGGGCGTGCATCGGGTCGCGGAGGGGAGGAGGAGGAGGAGGAG